TCACTCCGAATCTCAAACTCAAGGAAGCTACTGATGAAGATCACAATCGATTCAAAAAGGAAAATATCAACTACAGATCAGCTCTCGGGCTTCTAAACTACATCGCTGGCTACACCAGACCAGACATCAGTTTTGCGGTTTCCAGTCTTGCTCGATTCTCGATCAAACCTGACCTGACTCTCGAGATTTACAGCGATGCATCTTGGGGCGATGATCCTGGAACTCGAACGTCTCCATCAGGTTATCTGTCTTACCTGTTCGGTTCTCCTGTATCCTGGAACAGTTGCCGTCAACACAATGTCACATACTCCTCAAGACCCAGGGCATTCGACAAGAACTCAAATTCAAAAATATCCAAATCACTCCAGGCTATATGGGATTCTGCTCCGTCGAAGGTCCACTGGTGAAGGCCTTACAAAACGGTGATTGGCTGTCCTCCATGTAGGAACACTCTTCGCAGCCATCGATGACCTAGACCTTATCTTCGGAAGCAAAAATACACAGGGTCCGTGCAAAACAATTTCTTTAAACTCTTCCTTCATCCCGCTCCATGACTGACCTTGGCATTCCCCTGTATCCCATCCTCAGAGATCTCTCATGTATGAGAAGCGAGAATGCTTTGTAAAAAATCGTCAACTTCATCTCTCTCCCATCACACCCTCATGAGACCGGTGCTCGCAAGATGAGCATCACCCAAGACCTAGTTTCTCTTGCTATCTTAGTTTTCCTGTGTCATTTCATTTAGAACTTCTCTTCCTTTACGTTTCTCCTCTTTGCTATTGCTTGATTATCTTTTCTTTTTTCACATTCATGTTTTTTCTGATAGAGTAACTAAATTATTTTTTTTGTCCCAAAATCTCCAACGAGTAGGAACCCATGAAGTTGTCGGCATCCTTCTTTGATGCCCAGACATGGGTGATCCATCGGATACTCGACAGCAGTCGAGTCCGCCCCAGAATGGGTACTTGACTTGGTACTCCGTCGGGTGCTGCCGGGTGCATCCTCAATGCTGCGGCACGCATGGGTGGTTGTACCGTTACCAGGTCCCCGTTCGCAATTCATCTCCCGCCAATTCAGAAAAAAACGGAATTCATCTCCTGCCGATCCATAAAAACCGACCTTCTTCTCCTGCCGATTCATAAAAAAACCGAATTCGTCTCCCTCCGATTCATAAAAAAACGACCTTCATCTCCCGCCGATTCACAAGAAAAAACTGAACTTGCCTCCTGCCGAAAAGCGTCTTTCATCTCCCGGCAATTCATGAGCAAATCCGAATTTGCCTCCTGCCGATCCATAAAAACCGACCTTCTTCTCCTGCCGATTCATAAAAAAAACCGAATTCGTCTCCCGCCGATTCATAAAAAAACGACCTTCATCTCCCGCCGATTCACAAGAAAAAACTGAACTTGCCTCCTGCCGAAAAACGTCTTTCATCTCCTGGCGATTCATAAGAAAAACTGAGTATATCTGCCGCCGATTCATAAACAACGGAATTCATCCCCCGCCGATTCATAAGAAAAACCAAATCCGCCTCCCGCCGATTCGAAAAAAAACACCATTTGTCTCCAGCCAATTCTTCGTCTCCAACCGATTCATAAGAAAACCGTGCGGTGAACTTGTGGAGGTAACACTTCCAAGCAGTCTGGGTCTAACCGGTCCAAGAACGCGTGAGCAATTTCTGCAGGATCGAATCAACACTGGGTGCAACCAAAATTACCTTGCTCTCAAGCTCATACGGTATGTCTTCTCATCATCTGAGGCTTGGCCTAGCTGAAACTAATCAATTTTTTCCAGTCATTCAAGTGCAATATGCCGGTCAAATACGTTACCTGTACATGTGTTGAACTTGGCTGCAGCAAACTTACTTACCTGCATGATGGAGTGGATAAAAAAGGATTCCGAATGTCTCAAGGAGCATATGCTAACCATCAAAAGAAGATCCAGGAGCAGGTTAAGTAGAACCATTCTTGCTATGTCATTGATACAAATCCAAGTGAAGAATTTATCTAACCATGATTCTGGGATTGATTTGATATGATTCAGGTCAATACTCGTACAACCGCGCTGCCAAACCAGGACAATCAAACGTCCTTGGCCCCTGATCCACCAACAAGCCATACCGTGTTAATACCCAAACCTGGTGCTCACACTGCCGACCCAACAACGTTAATACCCAAACATGGTGCTCGCACTGCCGACCCAACAACCCAGGACGTTCAAATGTCTTTGGCCCCTGAACCATCAACAAGTTTTTCTGGCTTCATATCCGAGCCCTCGACTAGTACAGCCCAGCCCCTGCACCAGAACGTTCAACTGTCTCTGGATCCGACGAAATCAGCAAGTTGTACTGCATCAAGACCCAAAGGATTTATGCCAACATTCAGTTTCTCCGAACCTCATGCCCTTGCTGTGATCCTACAAGCTGCTGAGCTCTCAGTTCTTGAAGGACTTAGTGACCACGCGGCAAATCGATTCTTGAAAATGGAGCGTGCTAAGTGGCAATTGAATGATCCTCAAGTTCCAAACTACCACCTGACCGCAACACAAATTCCGAAATCCATCAAAACCGTCCTATCTCGTCTTGGATTGGTACCAAACATCATCCACGCAACCTGTTGTCCATCGTGTTTTTCGATTTACCCACCACCCATACGGCCCACAGCTCAAGAAACAAAGAAAAAAAAGCCCTTGAAGCATCCTTCAACCACAACTTGCACCTCAACGTTCTACTCGACAAGCAAGCGCTATATAAAGACATTGGATGGAACAACTCCTCTTTGCGGAAAGGCGCTGTTCAAGAGCCCCACCAAAACAGATGGCTACCCTTATGTTCCTGTCCGGACTTTCTCATACCGCACCTTGTCTGACTGGATTAAATGCAAGATTTGCTGTCCCAATTTCGAAGATCTTCTAGATTCCTCACTCTCTCGATGCACAGACAAAACTTCTATGACCGATGTTTGGGACGGTAGCATTTGGAACACTTTCCTTGACTCGACAGATCCACCCAGACTCTACACCTCAGTTAGTGGAAACCTCGTTTTCAGTTTGTTTGTTGACTGGTTCAACCCATTTCGTGGAAAGCATCATTCTCCAGTTTCTGTTGGAGCCATTGTACTTGTGTGCCTCAACCTCCCACCTGAAGTTAGATACCGCGAAGAAAACATGTTCCTCTTTGGAATTATTCCTGGTCCTACTGAACCTTCTCTAGAACAAATCAACAGTTTAATCCAGCCCCTTGTCGACGAACTCAAAATTCTTTGGAAAGGCCTCTGGTTTGATCAGTCATTCCGCAACCCCCGTGGACAATCCTTTAAGGCCGTAATTTTTCCGTTAATTGCAGACTTGCCTGCCCTGCGGAAAACAGCCGGTTTCATGTCGCACAACGCAAATTTTTTTTGCTCCTACTGTCTTTTGACCACCAACGAGATCCACCTCATTGACCCTAAAGAATTCATACCCAGAAGCCACAAATCACACCTAGCCCATTCAGCCCGATGGCATCAAGCCACGACCAACACCGAAAGGAACGAAATTTCTGACGAGCAAGGCGTCCGGTACAGCGTACTGAACGAACTTCCATATTGGAAGCCAATCGAATTTTGTGGCATTGAGCTCATGCACAACATGATATTAGGAAATCTCAAGGATCACGCCACGAACTTTCTTGGAATCGTTGAAGCCGGTAGTGTGCTGAAGAAGGCGTACCAACACCGAGAGAACACGCAAATCTCAGCTCAAGAAATCCATCCCTTTGATATTCTAATTCAGTCCACTGTCAGTGACACTACAAAGGGGAAACGTAAAAGAGCCGAAGACGTAGAACCTCCCCGAAATCATCCATCCAAAACCAAACCAACTCGAGTCAAAAGAACATATCAGAGAAAGAAGAAGAATCTCAAATGCGAACTCCCACAAGTCACTGCTGAACCCGGGCCTAGTTCTTCTGTATCTCAAAGTTGTGTGGCAACCACGTCGAAATCCCTGGCCCAGGCATTCCAATCCGATTTCTCTCCTTCTTGGTGTATCCCGCCAGGACAACTGATAGTACTAGACAAACCCAGTGACCCCCAAAGAACCTTGTGCGATGCAGATCAGACAAAATGCCCTCCAACGAAAAAAAAAGGCCCCTTCTGATTCTCACTCCTACCAACTGAGGCAATCACCGTACATGCGTTCAACATCGAAAGGGAAACAGCGGCAACTTGACGATACTGCTAGCGACACACCACATTCTGATCCTGCTAGTGACTCACTACATTCTTCCCGTCAAGGGAGTAATCACGCCATGCCTAGTTTGGAAAGTCAGAGTCGAATTGGTTCCAAATACAAACAAAACAAGCGGCCCCGCAATGATCACTTGAGCAACGTCAACAGCTCTTCTGATGCAAGGCCCAGCAAGCTTTCCAAGAACACATCTTCAAGGGGAAAAGATCACAACTTGATTGGTATGTTTGACCTGTTTTAATGAGCCAAAAACGGATGTTAAGACTTCTCTCTGATTCACAGGGAAATTCGAGGAGATTCCACGTTATAATTTACGATCAGCATCAACACACTTCCGGTCAGACAATCACTCCAGTTCCCAAAATTCAATTGCGGGGTCTTCTTCTAATGGAAGCAAGCGAATCCAGCACAGCATCCAGCACAAGTCTAACACGAGCAACTCAGACCAGACCGAATGCCCCAACTCATGCAAACCTGTCAAGATCCCTTACCAGAGCTCAAAAAAATTAAGTTCCCGCTCGAGTACTAGTGCTAGCTCAAACCAGTCAAACCAGAGTAAACACTTGACTTCAGACAAATCAAGCCAGAGCCAACACTACTCTGACACCAACACTACATCAAGTTCTGATTCAAGCAGTTCTCATTCAAACACAAATCTCAGCTCGAACCAATCAGATCAGCACAAACACTCTAGTACTTCCAACTCCAACCAAAGTGACACTGCTACAATTTGCAGTACAGATACGGTCAAACCAACTTCAAAAAAAAACAAAATGACGAACCCTGAACTGAAGGCACTTAGCAAGTTGGATCCTAAAATATTACCGGCAGAGCTTGAAGCAGTACACAAAAGTGTTTCTGTGGCACGTGTACCGTCATGGATGGCTCAGATCCCAAACACTGTTGGAACCCCGGGTAATAGCTCACTCAAAGCAGCACAGTGGCTCATCCTTTACTCAGTTCATTTTGCTCTTACTCTTGTACCAATCTGGCAACTGAATTCTGAAAATCCTCACCGCGAGGTCCTCCTTGCCAGCACTATTGATCTTATATCCATGACAAACTTCCTCACATCTCGAACTATCAGTACCAGTGATCTCGACTGGTATTCACAAACGATGATCAATTACCGTACCACCCTCTCAAATGGCTGGAAAGGCCAGCCGACATGCAAACCCAACTTGCACATGTCACAACATTATCCAGAGCATATCCGCCGCTTTGGCCCCCCAGCATCGACTTCCTCCTGGGCACACGAGCGGCTAAACGGAATCCTTGGGAAAATATCAACAAACAACCAATTGGGTATGACATTGCTTCCCTTACTTTTCAAATCTCTAAATAAATGACCTAATCAAATGCTCCATGATTGATTCCACTCCAGTGAACTTAAACAAAACCATTTCTGAAAAATGGAACGCGAAATCCCAGCTCATCTCCCTGATCAAGCAGTCGGTTGAAATAGTCAAAAAACTGCCATCTGAAATTTTGACGTGCATGACGAGCATGAAAAGTCATCAAAACAACTCAAAAATATCTAACCGGGGAAATCTAGATGAACTGTCATTCAATCAGTGGATATCAGTAATCCGCACCCCGAACAACGTACCATTACCGAATGTCAAAATATCCCCTCTAGTTCAATTCCACCGATCAGTGATATTGAAAAGAAAGTCCTACAGTGTTCAAAAGAAACATATTGGTGATTCCACGATCCAATTCGAATACCAGAAATCCGTGAAATTTGGCTGTATTCAAAAAATCTTTACAAGTGACCACTTCCCCAATAGACATTTTCTGATTGTTTCTTCTTTTGAGGAACTTTCTCAAGATGACCTGAAGCATGATCCGTACAGGCGATATCCACGTATTTTCTGTAGACTAGTTTATTCGAGTTTAGCTCCTACATATGTGATTGATCATGAGATGGTTGTCAGTCATGCTGCCCTTTTGACCAATACACCGGGTACATTTAATGTTGCCAGGGAAACCTGCTCGGTGGTAGGACTAGTGGGTGTGGTGAGTTGGACCCTTTTCCCACTCCAGTTGTCAAAAGAGACTGACATGCATGATAACATTCCAATTTCCAGGAAATTTCAGATAAATCAGGCAGTGGGTCCTCTGAGTGATTTCCATATGTAAGTTAGTTATTTTACAAACATGTTTCCTCATTTCAAAACTAGAACAAGTAATGTGCATGTATTTCATTTTTTTTTGTTCAATGAATCACACAGTTCAAAGTCATTCTGTATGGTACTTTGTGATTGCCGCCAGACACACATGTATTTACACACATAAGTAAATACATTGCTAGAATGCTTCATCCTTTCAGATAGGTTGTTTGACCGATCTTGGTGAGGAAATGGAAGCATTTAAAGGGAAGTAATCGATGACCAGTTGCTCCTTGACATTAAGCGAAGTGCATGCACCCCCTAGCTTAACCCAATCCCCTTGACAGAGGACCGGAGGGAACTCGCGAAGCGACTTTTTTACCTACATACCTTTCCATCATAACTCATCGCGTCCTACATCAACTTTCTAATCCTACATCACATCATCTTAGCGTCTTCGCATCAACTTAGCATTTTCTTTTTTTCATTATAACCTTTTTTTTACAAAAACGAGAACTTTTTCCCTTTTTTGGCCTTCGTTTCGAAGAAATTCCTCGTTAAGCGTTACCCTATTTAACACCGAAACCGTGAGTCCACCGTTTCTACCGCGCAATTAAGAACAAGTTGATCAATGTAGTCATGAAACTAACTTATTCTAAAATCCCTTCTTAGCAAGATATCTAGGATACTTCAGGTGTTTTCGATTTGTCAGGGGCTTATCCCTGGGATTGATTGAATAACAGGACTCGTCAGGGAATTAGCTTCCTGGAATTGATTGGGCTGAACAAGACTCGTCAGGGAATTAACACCTGGGACGGGAGGGACAGGGAGTTTCCACCCGGGATTGATTTGAAGTGGAAAGGAGTCGTCAGGTGAATAAAAACCTGGGTTCGATTGAATTTACTTATGATGTAAGAAAAAGTTTGGTAATACAGTAATACTAAACCTAAAGCTCCAATTGTTAGGCCAGACTCCTACAGAGAAACTCTATCACGCGAGGTTCTATGCGAAGAAATATTCCTCCGAAGCGAGCCTCTGAAAGAGGTTTAGGAGGCTTGCTTCATGCAGCCTGGCTGTACCCCCCTCCGGAGCGTTGAGGTAGGAAGACGCCCATTGTGCAGTGACTGATGTCGGCTCGGGTTTGGTAGCCAAGCGGCCATCGGGTGCTGTCGACGTTTGACTAGTTCAACAGTTGTCCTAAGATCGGGGGGCTTTCATCTGCAGGTTGCAATTCCTTCCATCTTTCTTCACTCCCGGCGTTTGCCTACCATCTGTGTCGACCTTTCGACCATTTCAAACTACTCGGTCGATTGGAACACTCACGTTTCCAGCTGACTTGTGAACTAGTTGTTCCTGGCCATTGAGAGGGGCCTGTTGCGATTTATGTACATAAACAAATACACATGTTTATGTACTGGAAGACCTTTGAGTGTGACTATGTAAGGCACTGAGCTGCCTCAATGTACTGGTGAGGCTGTGCACTCAACACTCAACTGACACCCACCACTATGTATGTGGTTGACGATGAGTATTGATTGGGACAATATACAACTGCTGGATGGGTTGAGATTGAACTCAAGAACACCGCATGTCAACTGACAGCACTTCAGCGATATTTTTTCACAGTGCAACAGGCCAAATTATGCCCTTTTTCAGTCAATAAAGTGACTCACTTGCTCATTCCTCTGACCCCTCAGACCCTCCACCAAGAGAGGGGTCTGAGGGGTCTGAGGAATGAGGGCTCATACCAGGCGCTCCTGCTGTTAGTGTTATGAGGTATGTCCTGCTTGAGTGCTTGATCCACATAGAATCCCTCAATATGATGCGACTCAAGTATCTTCATAGTTTCGTGTCCAAGTGCTTTGAGTGGCTGAATCACAACAGACAGCTGTGTTGGTTCAACCAAAGGTGGCAACAAATACGCCAGAGACTTGCCCCCACCTGTTCGAGCAACAACAAGAAGATCTTGATCGGCTTCTAATACAGCAGTGATCCACAATTGCTGAAAAGGTGATTTCCAACTCGGTGACGGATCCCTAGTAAACTGCTGCAGCGCTTGCATGGCAAGCTGCGATGGACTCAAGGGAATAACCGGAGTGACGGGGCCAACCAAGGAAGAAGAACTATAATCCCAATTCACCTGTGATTTTTGAGAAAAAATTAGTTACAGTCACATACTTTGGTTCCATACCATAACTGAAAATAAGTAAACACTTACACCCCAAAAATCTTGCCAAATTGTGCAGGCTTGACGGAATTGATACTCGGCACGACGGTCCATACTGTGCCCACTAGTTCCTCCATAAACCCAGTTGGCTGTTCGGCTCGTATGGTTCCTTTGAATATCCAAGACATGATTCGATCCATCCTCATCATCTTCATCATCATCAACAAGACCAATTCGGGGGTGCTCCTTTAGCCACTGATCACAAACCGCAACACAGAGGTGTCTCCAAGGATTCACCCCAAGTGGGGCAACATTATGCTTCACAAATGTCCGGTGGAGAACCGATGTTTGATGGGCAGTAGTAAAAAGTCCAAGTGAAGTGTCAACCCAAAGATGCGTCAATAGATGTTGTATATGGTCAAGTTGATCCAAAAGCTGCAAAAAGGTACTAAGGACAATATTTCATCAGTATCCACACACTCTAACCCACATATGCATACAAACTTACATTTGAGTAGGCCGGATGAAAGCCAAATAATGATGCAAATGCTGTGAAAGCAACCCAGGAAGAAAAACCACTCGAGTCTTTCCATGACCAGAAATTGATTGACCTTTGTGATAAGTCGTTTGGATCATAAATGTACCGTTACGCCAGAATACATTCCGCATCGCTTCTGGGGTATTAACTATCTTGACAGTCATTTCTTCGGTTCCTTTTGCAGGTTGGACACAAAAGTAAAGAGCTTTGGTAAGTTCATTTGCCATGTCTAGCCATTTTTGAACAGTCGATCGATCCCAGGTTTCGCCATATTTTGAAAAACCCCATGGATCTCCTGCAGCCATCCATGATTCTAAGAGATATCGACCTGAGTACTGGTTGTGGTATTTTGCAGAGGCCACTAGATAGTTGAATCCAACATCAACCATATGAGGCTGATCCTCATATGCCACCCGATCAAACACTGGCAACTTGACACCTTGAGTGAGCAAAGAGAGCAGTTGCCCAATACTCTGAAAGGTTTGCTGAATTGTGTGCTTGACATCATCCAACGATACAGTCAGGTTGTTAATGGCCAGTTGCGTGCAGCCACTGTCTATCCAATGCGTCGTCTCAGGGAGCCCCTCAGTCATTGTAACAGTCGCCATGAGGTGCATCCAGGAGCGAAGACCCCAGAATGGTGTGTTGACTGTCCCTTCAATTACATAGTTCCACATATTCTCGACTTGGCCATTCAGACCATTGTGGAATATCAGACCAAGGTTGGTATCGAGGGATGGAGTGCAGGCAGAGAAAGCCAAGTACAATTCAACAAAAGACACTCGAAGACAGTATTGAAGAGGAGCAAGGAGCCTAGTCACTAGCCCATGGGGCTGAAAGGAACCGTCTTCTTTGATCATCGACAAAGCAACAAACTGAAGAACATGAAAACAGGTGTCGGGTGTACCATGAGGGTTTGATTGGATGAATAGAGCAACAAGACATTCAGGAATCAACTGAGAAGGGATGATGGGTGGACTTGTTGTAAGATGATCATGGAGCTGATCAAGAAGCTTGAGGGCTAATGGATTGATAATACAAGCTGGAAGACCAAGTCGGGGGTTATGGGATATTTCCAAGCAAAAGATGAAGAACAAGGCCAATAAACCAGAATATTTTTTGATCGCCGATGCCGCAAGGGAGCCAAGTGGTTTGTTTCCAATCTCATCACTAAATCATATGAATCACACACATTAGTAAGTCATGTTTCCCTCTCTTGAAAAAGAAAATAAAAAAAAAAAAATTTCCTGGCTGCTCACCGCTTAACAGAGAGAACCCTACATCTTAAATGCACACTCTTTTTTGGCAAGTTGGCTGACTGGTCTGCCAGCCATGAAAAAACAGCATCAAACACTATGAAATAGTACTGATGTCCTTCACTAAAAATCTGAGCCAGCTGATTATGGGTCAATCCTCCAGCAACAGCCTCCTGGACAAAGGCCAATATACCAGTTTGGACTAACCAAGTTGGAGTGTCCCTAATCCCAGCTGGATTGTGCACTCCAAGAGAAGTCATGCTGATAGGGGGTGGAAGCTGGGCCAAAAGGCCACTGGCCTGGCGACTGGTAATGACACTGGAAGAGGTGTTTGAGTCTGGGATAATATCGTCGTCCGGATGAGTTGGAAGAACATGGAAAAATCGACGATGTTGGTGCCGCAGAAGAGTTTGAACCCAAGACTGGCTAATATTATTTCTCCAGCCTCCATCTTGGAACTCTACATACATACATCAGAAAAGGAAATATCATCAACAACATGCTCTGTGTTTCAAAGTGAACTGAACCCTCTTACCTGGAACCCAATGGTGGGCCACAAAATGCTTCCGCATAGAATCCAACTGGACACAAGCATAGTAGCACACATTACATACAAACCCCATGTACATCCGAACTCCTCGGAAAGGAGCAATGGGCTGCTCAAGATTGTAAATGTCTTGAGGAGGAGCTTGGACTATGTCATCAAGCATGCTTTCTTCCACAATGCATTTGATATGATGTTGAGTCTGGAGATGAGAGGATATCTCTTCAACTTTAACACAGACATGGCAACCATCATTTGAGCACAACAACAGCTTGGCCAGTTTGTGATAATAAACCCCAAACTCCATCCAACCAGCAAGCTCTAATCAGAATTAGACAGACAAAGAAGAAGCATTAGCTGACCGACCTGTTTTGATTATATATATTTTTCATCCAAAACCACTCACCTTGCACTTGGCTTCCAGCAGGAATCACTCTAGATTGAACCACCACCCTAGGAATATGGCTGGCCACAGAAGGAGCAGAAGTACGAATTTTGGATCGACAATTATGATAATGAGTCTGCATCAAAGATGCTTTGACAGTAGAGTATGAGCAAGCTACTTGAGGGCACGAAAAGCGATTATTGACTCTTTCAATAATGACCTCAGAGCCATGTATATCCTTGGTATGGACAGTTGATTGATGTTCGTGTCTTACATGATTCTTACGTGAAGAAATTGAAGAAAAGATAGCAGGACACTGAGCACAACGATAATGCTGCATTTTTTATCTCTCTTAAGTGCTAGGGGCTGTAGACTCAATCAAGCAGGCTTGGCTCAAATAGACCATTTGAGGCCCCGGGGGGGGTCTATTTATAGGCAAATGGCACCTCCCAAGTGGCCAACTTAGCTGACCCGTAACTAAAGAAGCAAAGAAAATGCATTATATTCAAGATAATAGCATCAAAAAACAGACAAAAAACAGTAAAGATAAGGAAAAAACAAACAAAAGCAAAGCAGGCCAAACCAAACAACATAAAAACAAAAAAAAATAATTGAATAGGAAACCAAAGACAAGTAATAATAAAGGAATGAAATCAAAAGACAACTGAGAACAATCAATCATCAGAACAGTCCGCCTCATCATGAATAAATTGTTTGACTGCTTCTTGTGCCCTCCGTTCGTGTTCAGCGCGCTCCTCCCTCCCCTCTTCTTCCTCTTCTTCATCCTCCTCCTCATCCTCCTCCTCATCTTCATCTTCATCTTCTTCACCATCACCCAACCCACCATGGGATCCCTTGAGCAAGAAAGGCATAGTCTTTTTCAAGATCTGCAAAACCCCATCTTTGTTTTTTTCCGTTCCAGCATCAATAACCGGATGGACAGCGTATTTTCCAGTCAACGACACCGAGGGACCAGGTTGAGCAACTTCAGCAAAAATATCGGCCAGGACTAATTCACCAATCTGGGCAGGAGTCAAGGTCTCGGCCCATTTCTTGCTCATCAACCTCCACTGAGCAGAGTCTGCTATTGGGATCTTGGAAGCATTCAAAACACCCAGAAGAAAGCCGTTGAGATACTTCCAGCCACCCGAGACCAAAGGATGGGTCGTCTCAATCCCATCGGCAGGGATCTTCTTGAGTTGTTCGATCCGTTGATCGGCAAGAGTGATGAGGCCATAGCAATCGGCGAGGTTGTACTTTCGATGGTTGGTGAAAGAAGAAAACCACCCAGCCACTCCAAACGTCAAGAAAATCGACAGAGCAGCGTAAGCCTCCTTTCTGGCAATAGACCAGTCAGCCGTAGAGATAGTTCCAGGACCAGTGCGAAAAACCGCAATCGACTGAAGCTCGGATTTTTTAGCCTTGATTTCCTCTTGAGTCAATCCAGGCAACCTCTCATACTCCTTCTCCTTTTTGAAAAGCTCATTGCATTCTACGCAGAGAGCAATTCCCAACAGCATTTCAAAGATCCTTTTTTGGAGAAAGGAGATGCCCTCCTCAGAGGCCTTGACCTGCCCCTTTTTCCCAGAGGTAGGAGTGCTACCGCCAAGCGCTTCGATTCGGTGATGCAAAAACTTCCCAGCACTACGGAGACCGTCCAGATCGGTTTTGGGGGCCTTTGGGTCCTCTTTAGGGGGCTTGATGTTGGTTGAGATTGCCGCCACAGAGTCCCGAGTGAGCTGACTGACACGGTTGAAGGCAGCAGAAATCAGAGCCTTCCTGGAGACATGGGTGGTGTAACCCAAGGTGTTGTCACCTTCAGCTCTGCAGATCAAGTTGAGGAGGGCTGTCCAACCACCCACAGGGTCCTTGGGATTCTCCTTGGAAGCAGTCTGGATTTTATCAAAGTCAATGAGATCTTTGTTCCAGAAGGGATCAGGATAAGAAACCTGAATCAACCCAGGAGCTAGAAACAAATCAAGAGTCAGCTAGAATTCCAAGACCAAACAAAGTGAGATGAATTAAACAAACATACCTGATCTGATGAGCTCAAAAAAGGGCTTCTTCCTAGGAGCACCCATGAGTTGAGTATTCATCCTAGAGGCCAACTCATATTTGTTGACCTGAATATGGCCAATAGCAGAAGGGATCCAATTGAGGAATCGAAAAAGAATAGGAGACGCCAGAGTTCCAAATTCCAGAGAGGTATTGCCAGCATTTTGAGCTGCCTGCTTGGGCTCTAAAGCACCCAAAGACTGAGTATAAATCTCCTTGAGCCCAACAGGGAGGGAGTATCTACATAAGACTAACAAACAAAAATAAATAAATAAATAACAAGTCAACAACCATACTCCCTGATCCAGCCAACACAACAAGAGATAGATAGAGAAAAACTTACCCAAAGCAGACAAGAAATGACCCTTCTTGATCACACTATTGTCCTCGATTTCCTTTTCCTTCTCCTTCTCAGTTCCAGCTCCAGCACCATCCTTCCCTTTTCCAGTCTTCTCATTGCCATTGCCATCGACATCGACATCGTCCTTGTAGCGATCGTCCTCATCGTCCATAAAGAGACTTTCTTGTTCCTTCCCCCTGCCCTTCTTGGAGGAGGCAGGAGGGGGAGCACTCTTCCCAGCCTGAGTGCCAGCAGCACCAGCAGATTTCTGCTTCTTAGAAAAGGTGGGCAGTGAGGCCTTGTCAGATGCACGAGGTCTCTTTTTAGACCTTGGCACCTCAACTACATCATCATCCAAGACCACCACCTCAGACTTGGTGGTGACACCCTCCTCAATTTTGACTTTCCAGCTTTCCAGCCTCAAGTCAAAAGCCTCATCCATCTTGGCAAAGAGATTCCCCTCCAAAGAGGGAGGGGCACCAAGAGTCTCAGTAGCCTCACTCAAGAGAGCAGCCAGAGTGGCTTTGGCATCCTGATCTAAAAGTCAAAGCCATAAAAAAAAAAAAACAAAACAAAGTCAGACCCATCTCAGACCTCAGACCCCCAAAAATAATCCAAAAAAAAACATAATAATAAACTTACATTTCTTCTCCAAAGATTGGAGTGCAGAAAGCCTAACCTCCTTTCCACCACCAGGAGTGGAAGAGATTTGAGCAACCTTCCCAGTTGGCATATCCACCCCATGCCTGACCTCCTGGCCTTCAGTGACCACATCCTTGGGAGATTTCTTCTTCTTGGTGGTGGTGGTGTTGTTGTTGCTGGTGGTGTTGGAGTTGTTGGAGTTAGAGTTGTTGGTGTTGGTGTTGTTGTTGGTGTTGTTGGGGTTGTTGTTGGGGTTGTTGTTGGGGTTGTTGTTGGGGTTGTTGTTGGTGGTGGTGGTGTTGTTGGCTGCTGGGTTGGCCTGGGTGGTCCTGAGGGTCTGAGGCTCTTGGGTGGAGGCTGGCCCTTTGTTGGTGGGCTGAGCTGGAGTTGGAGCACCCAGAGTAGCCAAGTTGAAGGATTCTTCATCCTCCTCATCAGAGAAAGAGGGTCTGTCTGGAGATGATGGAGCCATTATTGTAAATAGTAGACTAATGAGTAAAGCTTTTTATTGATTTT